AGGAGCTGCCCCCTGGAGGTCAGTGTGCTCCCACAGGGGGGCGTGCCAATTAGCCAAAAGTCGGGCTTATGGCTGGCGAGCACAGTGGCAGTGGAGGGAGCCTCTCCCACCTCCACAGCAGCACTAAGGATGTCTGAATGCCAGCTTAAGCTTTCAATCGGACATCCCCCAAGTGCTCCCGGACTGTGAGAGGGCACAGGCCAGGCTGAGGGACCCCCCCCCTCCCAGTGCATGAATTTTGTGCACTGGGCCTCTAGTAAGTAAATAGGCCAATAAAAGCTAGAAGACAGAGGAAAAAAATAAACAAGGTAAAATAATACCAATAGGTACATGAGTAATGAATAAAGGAAGTAATAGAACAAAAAGATCAAATATAGTAATATAACAAATCCAATTAAATGCATATTCTTAAAACAAGATGGGAAAAATAAAACCAACAGCTCCAGAGAGCTTAGTGTGTGTTTTTTGTTATATGTGACTTTAGTTTACAGCTCTTGGTTGTAGTGATTACAGAAGGCCAGCAAACTCTTCTTAAATTTTTTACATGATTTTGAAATGCAAGAATGTCTCTGTAGCCTCATGCTGAAGGCAGGTATTTCCAGGTATTTTTTTTTTAACTTTCTATGAAATGAATTGCCAACAACTTGGCCCAACTTCACTGTTCTTCCTTTTCAGCCCCAGTGGAAATGCAAAGCCTGTGCTTTATTCCTGCCCAGGGAGACACCAAGTCCACATTTTGCTCTTGCTATGTTAGTGAAGGCATCATTTTTCAAGAGGAAATGCATAATTTGACTGAATCGTGTTTAAATCACACTCATGTCTCGGGAATTCTCACTGGGTAGCCCACAAAGGGAGCTACCCAGTTTTCTGTTGCAGCATCTAAAAATAATCCAGAGGAGCCCAGCCAGCATGGCTCATTGGTTGAATGTTGACCCATGAACCAGGAGGTCACAGTTCGATTCCCAGTCAGGGCACATGTTTTGGGCTCTATCCCAGTAGGGGGTGTGCAAGAGGCAGCTGACCAATGATTCTCATCATCAATATTTCTATCTCTTTTTCTCTTTTCCTTCCTCTCCAAAATCAATTTTTAAAAAGAATATTTCATTAAAAATAAATTAAAGTAATCTAGAGGAGATACAAGTCAAATTCCCAGGTGATTTGGACTACCTGCTCCCTGTGGGCCTTCGAGGATCCAACAGCACCCTGTAGACTCTTTAGGCGTAGAAACTCTGCTTTGTTTTTAACCTCCGTTTGTTCAGTCTCCCCTTATCAGCCACTTGCAAGAACTGCCATTCCTACCTGGTCAAAGCCCATGGTCCTGCTAAGTGCACTCTGACCCTCAGTTTGAGACCTGAGCTGGTGGTGATGAATTATGTACATTTTCTAAACTCTTAGCCTTGACATATATTAAAACTTATAAACCTTCATATAAATGTTAAGTGAAAGCAATCTTCATATAAATATTAAGTAACTAGAGGCCCAGTGCATGAAATTCCTGCACTGGGGGGCAGTGGAGGGGGGGGCTTCCCTCAGCCCGCCTGTACCCTCTCGCAGTCTGGGAGCCCTTGGGGGATGTCCAACTGCCAAGGAGGCAGGAGAGGCTCCCACCACTGCCGCTGTGCTCACCAGCCATAAGCCCAGCTTCTGGCTGGGCAACACTCCCCCTCTGGGAGTGCACTGACCATCAGGGGACAACGGTAGCTCCTGCATTGAGCGTCCTGGCCCCTGGTGGTCAGTGCATGTCATAGCAACTGGTTGTTCCATCGTTTGGTTGATTTGCATATTAGCCTTTTATTATATAGGCTATATGTTCATTTTAAAAGTTAGGAAATACACATGAGTATGAAGAAAAACCATTTAATCTTATTACCTAAAGATAAATTCGTTGACATATTGTAATAGGTCCTTTGGGTTTTGTGTTTTGTGTGTGTGTGTAGATGTACACTTTTGTGTGGGGGCTGTGCCCTGGGAATCAGGTGTAGGGAATATAGCATTTTTTTTAAAAAAAATCCCTCCTTTCATGGAGCTTACATCTGAATATCTTTTATAAAAACTGGAATCATTCCATACTTAAAATCTTAAAACTTGCTTTCTATGAATTTAAAATATACATTGCATGTACTTGCATGCTAAATATAGATCTATGCAGTAATTTTAAATGAGTAATAGTCTAGCATTTGAATGCTCCCTAATTATTTTACCCAATTTCATAATTAAAAATAGTTTCCATTGTGTTTTGTTTTTTGATGTTTTTGTTTGTTTGTTTGTTTTTTGCTATCACTGTATAAACAACATTTTGGAGGAATTTTGTACATTGGCACATTTATTCAATTACATCCATAAAATGAACCTCATTGTCCAGTGTTTTGAGTCCTAGATCCTAGACCTTTTTCCCAGTTGATATGTAGGTCTGCTTTATCATTATTTATATATTTTCTCGTAGGATAGCCCAGTATTTAAAAGCATTTCCCTACAAATTGTTATTCTAAACAGTGAAGCAATTACATTCTTGTGCATGTACTCAGGCACAATTATATGATTAGTCATTCCTTTATTTAATTAGATTTCAAAATTGAAATACGTGTCTGGTATGAAAATGATAAGTAGAGAACTACATTAAATGAAAGCATTTAATCCTGTCCTTTCTCCCTACCCCCAGGTCGACTCCTTGGAGGTAAACCACAGACATGTATTTCTCTTATGAATTTCCTCCCTACATGCTGTATGCACTACATGATGTGTTTGACCACGCAGCATCCGTGCTCTCTCTCTTTTGCAACCATATCCTGATTTTTAGAAGCATCCACTCTTTCTCTACCACACCTGCTCCTGCTGCTCCGGCTTCCTTGTCCCTCAAAACGAATTAAAAACATTCCAGCTTCAGGGCCTTGGCACCTGCAGTGCTACAGCCTGGGAAGCTTATCCCCAGATTCCCATAGGTCCCTCCTTCATCCTTTAGGTCTCTGTCCATCTTCTATCTTGTCAGTGAGGTATTCCCTCATTGCTCCGTTTAAAATGGCAGTCCCAGCCCCGCCCCTCCATCGGCCTTCCTGGCTCTCTCCTCTGGGGCACTCTCCATCACCTGACGTTCTATAAACCTGTTTAGTATTTGAATCCCCCACTAGATGTAAGCTCCAGAAGGGCCGGGGGTTTTGTCTGTTTTGTCCACTGTTACAGGCTCAGTGCTAAAACGGTTATTAACATCCAATAAGTAGGCACTCGATATTTGATAAATGAATGAATGGCAGTGAAGGGAACACATACGTTTGGGGCTGGCTAGACATTAGTTTGAATCTCAGCTTATTAAGGTCACAATAGCTGTGTGATCTTGGACAACTTTTGTAGTTTGTGTGAGCTTTAGTTTCATGAAAGAGAGGAATTCAATTTACTTTATAGGGTGCTATGATGATTCAGAAAAATCCTGTTATGATGTTTTTAAACAGTACCTGGCACATAACAAGCATCAACAAATCTTCCTTTTCTCCTTCTTCCTCTTCGTCTTGCCCCCTTCCCTGCTCCTCTTACTCTTCTTTTTCTTCTTCTTGTTACTCTGATGAAGTAAACAGCATACCCTTGTTATTCTTTGTCCCTCGAGTTCCAATTGTTGCTTAGCACACAACGCACCTGGGAGCTTGAGGCTGACTCTCTTGCCCTTCAGGGTGTCCTCCCATCCAATGTGGGCAACACTGCCAGGTCCAGAAGCGCTCTGCTGCTTTGCTGCTCCAGCCTGCTCTGGCACTACTGGGGCAGTTGTTTGAACACAGGGACGCTGTAGTCTCCTTCCACACCGCATGGCCCAGCTTAGGGGTAGGGCCAAGGTCAGAGTCACTCGTGATCACAAGCACCTGAAACCTGGGATAGTGCCAATGTTTCCCTGAGTGTCTGAGTGTCCTCTTGGTTCATGCACTCAAAATCGCCACCTCATTCCTAGTTCATAGCAGCAGCCATAGATAAATTAGCAGAGGAAGAATCCCACGTGGTTCCTTGGGATTCAAGAGAAGAGGAAATAACCCCTTCTCGTTTCTCACAGACTAATTCCCAGGAACTTCTGGCCAAGTCTCCGTCTGGCTCCAAGTTCATTTCATTACCACATTTTTCATTCACTCAACAAACTTTTACTTTATCTGTGAGAGAGAGGAATTACAAGGAAAACAAACACTAGAGGGAAGTCACCATAAAAATGTGCCATGAGGAGTCTTTCTGCCTAAAGACGTTACAACTAGTCAGAAAAGTTACTTATTGAGAATTTCTGTTGTGTCAGGCAGTCTACACAGAAACTCAAATTCAAAATAATGTGTGAGGATACGATGAAATCTATACTAACAATAAGAAAACAGAGATTCAGAGAAGTTACCTATCAAAATCACAAACTCGATAGTGACTGGGCCAGGACTCAAAGCCAGTGTCACAAAACTCTGAAGCCCAGGATTTTTGCAACAGTGAATTTTGTCTTTGGATAGTGTCATTAGGAGGGGGAAATATAAAGCTTGTCAATCATATAAGTTATATGGAAATTTTTCAATTGCATCCAAGAAGCATTTATTGAGGATGTAGAGCCTTGATAGATGTTCAAAGGAGGTATAACAACTCGAATAAGGTAAAGTCTATACCTTCTCCAGGGGATTGTGCATGAATATAGTACAAAAAAATGCATAACTGAGTTAACAGCAGAGAACCTTATGTCTAATTAGAGAGGAAGAGAGAGGGGATCATGGATGATGTCAGATGTCCACGTCTGGGGGGCTGAGGAGCATTTTAGCCAGTGGAGAAGGGTGGGAAGAACACAGGGAAGGCCCAGAGGCCTGACAGCATTGACTATGAGTCTGAAGGGACTAGACCTGAAGCAGTAAGTCTGATGGGGCAAATATAGAGAGGTTCTCTGACCACAGGAGTCACACCATTACCAGGAAAGGGGTCAGCAGGGGACTGATAGGACAGGAAAGTTGCGCTGAAGGAGATCACAGCCAAAATGTCACAGGGGGCAGGGGCTTGAGTGCAGAATGAATGTGAATCACCAGGTAAAGGAGCTGGGCCACAGCGGACTGGAGGGTGTGGTAATAATGGGGAGGTGACTATGTAGAACTAGCCACCCCCAAGGTTCCAGACGGAACGCTGGAATGGTGACAAAAAGCATCTAGACCGGCTCAAAATGTCCTTTACCAGTGAATTAACGTATAGTTTTAAAGGGCAATTCATTCAAACTAGAGGTAGGATTACTTGAAACAGCTTCACTAGAGTGGGGGCCTGGTCTTTGGTGACAGGGATATTGAGAAGCAGTGTTGGCTTGGTGGTAGGACTACTGGAGAAGACGCTTCCGAATGGTGGAGTGTTAATGAGAAATTTAGTCTTCCCAGTATAGCATCTTTCCCCAACAGGGAAAAGTGAAGGCCTTCTAGCGAAATGTGGCCAGATCATATGCGCTTGTTTTTAATGCTCTACTAATAGTTCCTGAAAGCAGTTTTTGAGACCTAATGAACATATAACATGGTACTAACTTAGGTTACGTAATTGCTCGATTGCTCCCTATTCCCAGTATTTTACCGAAGGCAGGGAGTCCTCAGAAAGACTCTGTGGAGGTAGAACTCAGATGTCTTTTAGTCACATTGTTTATTGTTAGTTTAAACATGGAAATAGGAGACAATAAGAGCCCATTATTATTCCGGTGGAAATGAAAAGTAGAACAGCTGCTTAGGCAAGACTATTTTGTTTTTATTATTGTTCTGAATTATTTACATATAGTATGATAGAATTCATTATTTGACACTGGAAATGTATATTAATAACTGTGGCTATGATAGATTTAATTGCATAATATTTAATCAGGTTGCATTTTGGATATTTTAAGAATACTGGCTTTAAAGTGTGCTTGCTCTCATACCTATTTTTTTCCTGCCTTTACTGAACTAGGATTTTTTTTTTTTACTGATATATCATTGGCATACAATAGCCTATTTCTTAGAGTTTTGATATCACCTAGAAAACATAACCATATGCTTTCGTTTTTGAAGTCCCACTGGGAAGGCTCACCGAGGTGATGAAGGTCAGGGCTACTGAGACTTGCCCTATGCTCTAATGCAAGAAGCATGAGGAGGCAGATTCAAATGGAGGGCACTGCTACTTCCAAGTCACATGCCTGCCTCAGAGCTCTGTCCCAGAGCCTTGAGAAACGCACAGGGCTTCAGCTTTCTAAGTATTGGAATCTGGCCCCATCAAGATAAGAGTCTTCTTCGTTCTGCCAGCAATAACGCCTAGCGTTTGCAGGACAGAAGGTAGAGGAAGTGGGAAGCAGAGTTAATACTCCTCCCCTTCTTCCTAATACTCCTACTGTTATTACTTCTGCTACTACCACCACCACCACTTCTTGACTACTAGCTAAGATTTGGGCATTTCCTATTTGCTAGACCTTGTTTTATGGATTTAAATATATTTAAATATACAACCAATTTAATCTTTATAACAACACATCAAGTAACTATTATTATCTCTACTTTACAGATGAGGAATCTGAAACACAGCAGTTATGTAACTGGCATAAGTTCACAGCACTAGTATCTAGTAGTTAAAACGTCTAGCTTAATACATTTTACCAGACACTTAAAGCATTAACTGTGCATTCTTAAAAAAATATTCACTGGGCATACTCCAAAGTATAACTCCATAATAAAATTTCCTCTAAGGAAACGGAGTGAATAACAGAGTTAGTCACTTGGCTAACTTTGACCCTGTAGTATTTACAGATCTCCCAAAACAGCACAATTCTTTTTTTTTTTTCTTTTTTTAAATAAGGGAACATAGTCAGGGACACAGGGGGGTCATTTTCTGATTCCATGACTATTTAAGATTTGTCTATTTTGTATAGTTGTGTAATAGCAGGTTAATAATTAAGAACAAGTTCATGTTGTGTATCTGGGAATTTTGTCTTGCTTTGTTGTATTGGGTTTCTTTTGAGAGGACATTAATGTGATTTGAATTCTCTGACCCTCATTCCACTATATAAAGAGACACCAAGCACCAAACTCCATATAAGCATCCTCTTGTTTTCCTATTTATCATTCCTCGTGCTTGGGGCAATTATATTTCAAGCTTTGGAGGAAGACTTTGAGGTGGAGCAGCGAAAGTTGGCAGTTAACCTGAAAAGTGATTTTCTGAAACATCATGCTAATTATACTCTTCATGAGGTCGAAATGTTTGTGCAGGTAAGAGATGAAGATCCAGTTCATTTCATAGTCAGAAGACTTCTGTCTGTGCAGAGAAGCCATTTAATGTGAGCATGCTAGGAAATAACTTCCTTCACTGAGTACTTTGTCAGGCATATGTAGTGCTTATATTTTCTCCTAGACTGTGGCTTGATCTTAATTTTGCTCATGGGTTTTTTTTTTTAAATAAATTTTTATTGATTTCAGAGACTAAGGGAGAGCGAGAGAGAGATAGACACATCAGTGATGAGAGAGAATCATTAATTGGCTGCCTCCTGCATACCCCCTACTAGGGATCCAGCCCACAACATGGGCATGTGCCTTGACCAGGAATCGAACCGTGACTCAATCACTGAGCCATGACAGCTGGGTGCTCCTGATTTCTTTTGAAGAGAATTTTGTTTTTTAGAAACCCCAGTTCATAATTCTTTTCTTTTATGGTTTGTGCTTTTTGTGTTCTAAGAAATCTTCAGCTAAATCAAAGTCAGAAAGATTGTGAGATGTGATATAGTTTAGCTTTTCTATTTGTTTGTTCATATAATATATTTCTAGTTAATTTTGGTCAGTTATTTGAAGTAAGCATCAAGGTTTGTTAGTTTTAATACACATATTCTGTTGTTGCAGAATCATTTGCTGAAAAGACTACCTTTTTTTTTTTTTCCATGAAATTACTATGCCAAGTTTGTCCAAAGTCAATTGATCAGGCTGTAGTTATGGGAAAGGTGGAGAGAGTACACTCCACTCTTTCTCCCCCACTGAATGTACTTGTAACACTGGGAAGAATATATAAATCAGGTATTGAGGCATCTGGATAGAAAATAGTAGCAGCAATAGAATTTGAAGTACTGAGTGAGTTAAGCACCCCAACCCAGCCCTGCACCCCGAGTCTGATCTTTTTTTTTAATTAAATCTTTATTGTTCAGATTATTACAGTTGTTCATCTTTTTTCCCCCCATAACTCCCCTCCTCCCAGTTCCCACCCCACCCTCCGCCCTCACTCCCCACCCACTGTCCTCATCCATAGGTGCACGATTTTTGTCCAGTCTCTTCCCGCATCTCCCATACCCCCTTCCCCACCAAGAATAGTCAGTCCATTCCCTTTCTATGTCCCTGATTCTATTATAATCACCAGTTCATTCTGTTCATCAGATTATTTATTCACTTGATTCTTAGATTCACTTGTTGATAGATGCATATTTGTTGTTCATAATTTGTATCTTTACCTTTTTCTTCTTCTTCCTCTTCTTAAAGGATACCTTTCAGCATTTCACATAATACTGGTTTGGTGGTGATGAACTCCTTTAGCTTTTCCTTATCTGTGAAGCTCTTTATCTGATCTTCAATTCTGAATGATAGCTTTGCTGGATAAAGTAATCTTGGTTGTAGGTTCTTGGTATTCATCATTTTGAATATTTCTTGCCACTCCCTTCTGGCTTGCAAAGTTTCTGTTGAGAAATCAGCTGACAGTCATATGGGTACTCCCTTGTAGGTAACTGAGTTTCTTTCTCTTGCTGCTCTTAAGTGTCTCTCTTTGTCTTTTGCTCTTGGCATTTTAATTATGATGTGTCTTGGTGTGGTCCTCTTTGGATTCCTTTGGTTTGGGGTTCTCTGTGCTTCCTGGACTTGTAAGTCTATTTCTTTCAGCAGGTAGGGGAAGTTTTCTGTCATTATTTCTTCAAAGAGGTTTTCAGTATCTTGCTCTCTCTCTTCTTCTGGCACCCCTATAATTCTGATGTTGGTACGCTTGAAGCTGTCCCAGAGGCTCCTTACACTATCTTCATATTTTCGGATTCTTTTTTCATTTTGCTTTTCCGGTTGGGTGGTTTTTGCTTCTTTGCATTTCAAATCTTTGGCTTGATTCTTGCGCTCCTCTGGTCTGCTGTTGGGAGTCTGTATAATATTCTTTATTTCAGTCAGTGTATGCTTAATTTCTAGTTGGTTCTTTATCATAACATCGAGGGTCTCATTAGATTTCTTAAGGATCTCACTATATTTATCGGCAGTCTCACTAGTCTTTTCGAAGGCCTTACTAAGTTTATCGGCAGCTTCTAGACAGTTCTTGAGAGACCTTAAAAGTGTGGTTTTGAACTCTATATCCTCCATTTCTGTCATTTTTGTCCTGTTTCTTTGTCTCCGCATTTTTTATGCTTTCTTGGTGCACACCCTTGTGGTCTTTGTGCGCAGTCTTGTTGTAGTTAAGCCTTGATTGTTGTAGGTAATACTGGGGGGGATTTGACCTCCAGGCCAACTGGCTGTGAGAATCAGCTGTGTCTGCAGTGAGAGAACTTCTGTCCTCTAGGGAGGTGCTAATCTAGCCTTTGCCTAAGGCTATCCCGCAAATGCCTCTGTGCAAGGCTTGGGCAGGACGGGTCCCAGGGGATCAACAGGGTGGGCCGAGTGAGCAGTTATGGCTACTCTCAGTCCCGTCCCCAGAGGCACTGCCTCCCAGAGTCCCAGCAACCGCTGCAAACCTCGGAGAGAAAGCTGCCCTCGAGTTCCGACTGATGCCAGACAGTCCCACTTCTCCCGTTTGAGTCTGGGTCCTCAGAGACTCGCCCGGAACTGGAGCTCAGAACCTGAGACTCCCTCCAGATTGAAACAGACAACCGCGCCCTCAGCCGCCAGCCCGCTCCGCACGCACCTCCGCACCTTTGTATTTTACGCACTGCGCCTCCTCTGAGTCTCGGTATGCTTTTCTCTTTCCTTCTAGTTGTAGAATTTCACCTCAGCCAGCCTTCCTGTGGTTCTGGGTGATGTCCGTTCCAACTTTTAGTTGTATTTTTGAAGTAGTTGTGCGAGGCAGTAATCTCCAGTGTTTACCTATGCTGCCATCTGGGTTTATCTCCTGAGTCTGATCTTAATACAGTTGCAAACTCTGAAGTGAACCGAGAGTTCTAGGAGACAGCCTCTAGTTCTGACTCATGGAGCAGGAAAGGGAACTCCTAACGCTCAGAGAGAGTGCACATCCTCCCTTTTACTTCTTTTCTTCATTGACTTATACCCCAGTTCCCCAGTAATGCTGTCGTTCCCACAGTCATGACAGCAGCAACAGTGGAAGCAGTGGGAACTCACAAAATTCTGCTCCCTGAAGCTGTCCTTTCAAAGCTAGGGCCAAACCTTTTCCCTTTTTTCCCTTCTTTCTCTGTCCTCCTACCACTTGGCCCCAGACATGGCACAATCAAGGAAAAAGTTGGTTTCTGGCTGGCAGACCTCAACAGGGAATCATCAGGAACAAGACAGTGGCAGGGAGATAGCAGAGAGGGGGCTGTTGCAGAAGTGACCCTATACAATTGCTTAGGTCTGACCTGCACGTACATGGGTTTAGTTTTCACACCAAAGACTCTGAGAACTGAATGAGTGGGTACACCTGAATCTAGGTCCCAGACTGACCTCTGGGTGATGGGCATGTGGGACTGGTCCAGATGATACTGCAGAGGCTGTGAGAGCTGAACTGACACTGGGAGCACATCCCACGGAATATGAGTTGGAACTTGCAGTCTGAATCTAAACTAAATGACCTGCTGAAGTGAAAATGCCAACCGTCTCCATAGGATTTCAATAAGACTCAGAGTCTCATAACATAGCATTCAAAATACACTCTAAAGTGCTCAGCATATGAAGAACCACAAAAATCTGGTGACGAAGCCTCTCAGGCTTTGTTTGTCTGAAAAGGGTTTGTTTTGCCTTTTTTAGAAGGACATTTACATTGGTTATATCATTCTAGTCAGCACTTCACAGCATGGCAGCTTCCTTCTTCAAAGCCAGCAAGGCAGAGAGAGTCTCTAGCAAGATCAGCACTACAGTCTCATATAATCTTTTCACTTACATGGAATCATGTGCATCCTGTCACCTTTGATACATTCCGTGTCGCTAGAAATCAATCAAAGGTCCCACCCATCCTCAAAGAGAGGGGGTCACACAAGGGCATGAACACCAGACCCTGGGGGCCAGTTTGAGAGTCTGTCTCAAGAAATTGTTTCTGACCAGCCTCACAATGTTTCACCCTTTTCATGTGTGGAATGTCATTCAGTCAAAGAACGATCCTATATAATAAAGAGGTAATTGACCAACACTCCAACACACAAGATGGCCGCCCCCATGTGGACACAAGATGACCAGAGGGGGGGGGGGCAGTTGTGGACAATCAAAGGCCTGCAGGGGAGGGTACTTGGGGGGGGACAGACCTGCAGGGAGTGCAGTTAGGGGTGACCAGGCCAGCAGGGGATGGCACTTAGGGGCAATCAGGCTGGCAGGGAAGTAGTTAGGCATCAATCAGGCTGGCAGGGGAGTAGTTAGGGGGTGATCAGGCTGGCAGGCAGAAGCAGTTAGGGGCAATCAGGCAGGCAGGCAGGCGAGCGGTTGGGAGCCAGCAGTCCTGGATTGTGAGAGGGATGTCCCAGATTGGAGAGGGTGCAGGCTGGGCTGAGGGACACACACACACACCCTCTCCTGTGCATAAATTTCGTGCACTGGGCCTCTAGTTCAAAGAGAATTCTCTGCAGATTTCTGTGATTCATTCTCTGTGTAGCTTCCTCCTCTATGCAACTCTGCCCACAAGTTGTAGCCACCTCAGCTTTACTGAACTCCAATCTCTGTCCTCTCAGCTCAGCAAAATCACCATGCTATTTTTGGGGTGCCCCTCCCCCCATACCAAAGTCTAGAAATTATCTCCAAACAGCCTGGGCAATGGTACTACTCACCTTGTTTTCCTTCTCTTAGTGACTACAGTTCTGCATTTCCTCTTGTCCAATATTTAAAAATAGTTGTTTCCTATGTGTGTGCAGCATCCTATCTTGGAGTATTTTTCCACTGATTACCATCTCCCTAGTGCCCATTTCACATGTCATCCAATAGTGTTTTTGTTCAACCTAATTTTTATTATGTTATTATATAATATATGCTTAATTTTTGTTTTTATTTATCCACATTTTATTTATTTCTTTATTCATTCTTAGTTTCAGAGATAATTTTCCTTCCTGTGAAATGTCTTTGGTTAATTTTACTCATGAGAGTCTGTTAGTGATAATTAACTCTTTTTTGTGTGTGTGTTTTGTTTTGGTCTAAAAATATATTCATCTCAACTTATTTCTTGAAAGATATTTCAGCAGACTGTGCAATACTAGGTTGACAATTGTTTTCTTTTGGAACTTGGGAGACATTATCCCACTGCTTTGTTGCTTTCTTCTGTTGCTTTCAAGTTTTCTGTTATTCTGATTTCCCATCATTTGTAGATTATTTATCTTTTCTCTCTGACATCAGAGACCTTCTCTGATTTTTATGAACTTCTCTTGATCTCTGTTGTTTTACTGGTTTAATTTAAGTCTAGATCAGTGATGGCGAACCTATGACATGCTTGTCAGAGGTGACACACAAACTCATTTTTTTGGTTGATTTTTCTTTGTTAAATGGCATTTAAATATATAAAGTAAATAACAAAAAAATAAATCTTTGTTTTATTATGGTTGCAAATATCAAAAAATTTCTATATGTGACATGGCACCAGAGTTAAGTTAGGGTTTTTCAAAATGCTGACATGCCAAGCTCAAAAGGTTTGCCATCACTGGTCTAGATATAACTTTGGTTTTTTATTTTGCTAGGGGTTTGCTTCATGAATTGTTATATTTATTTCTCTTATCAGCTCTTGGAAATGCTGAGCCATTAATTTTTTTTTAAATGATTGATATGGTTGATCTATTTCTATCTTCTATATACTCTTAACCTATCTTTTATATTCTCCACTATTTTGCCTTTGTTGGTTTGTTTTGAGAAATTCATCATGCTATATCTTTCATTTACTTATTTTCTCATTGGTTCCATCTTATTGGATATGTTGAATTTTTAATTTCATTGATTATGTTTTTCTTTTCTAAAAGCTCTGCTTTATCCTCTTTAAATCTGTGTGGCCTTTCTTATTAATATTTTATTCTTATATGTCTCAAATTCTTATGATTTTGTTAAACATTTTAAACATATTTTATGTTCTTTGTTCAATTACTCAACATTTAAAGTCTTTAGAATTGTAATTCTGCTATTAGATTTTCTAATGACTCTCATAGTGGCATGGCATTTTTATCTTACTTTTGACTTTAATTAGAATACCTCTAATGTTTCCTTGTTAAGCATGAAGCCACTGGAGTTTGTTACAGTTTCTCTGTGTCAAATTAAAACTTTGTTCCTATTTACAACTTGCAAATAAGTATTATTTTATTTCATCTACATTTGTATTTATTGAAGTGATTAATATATGGTTATCATCTTTATTATATGTTTAGTGATTCCTAGAGTTTAACATTTATTACATTCCCTTAATCATAATGTATCCTTTATAACACTACTAGATTTGATTTAATAATATTTTATCTAGAACTTGGGATTCTATACTTCTAGATACTCTATAATTCCTCCTTCCCTTCCTTCCTTCCTTCCTTCCTTCCTTCCTTCCTTCCTTCCTTCCTTCCTTCCTTCCTTCCTTCCTTCCTTCCCTGTGCTATTCATGTCTGTTATTCCTTCTTTCCTTCCCTGTACTATTCATATCTGGTCTTACATATTATTGATTTTAGAGAGGAAGGGAGAAGGATAGAGAGAGATAGAAACATCAGTGATGAAAGAGAATCATTGATCGGCTAGCCTTTCACCAGAATTGAACCCAGAACCTTGAGTCCGCAGGCCTACGCTCTATCCACTAAGCCAAACTGCATAGAGCTCATGTCTGATCTTGATTAGTGTTAAATTCATTCTAGCATTCTATAAAGAATAAAGAAGCGTATGAAAATATCTTTCAATTATCCTGTTCGTTGTACCACTTTCCACTCCCATCTTTCTTTTCTTCTCTGTATTTGAGGTTTCTTGGGGGTATTTATTTATTTATTTATTTATTTTTTAAATTAAATCTTTATTGTTCAGATTATTACATTTGTTCCTCTTTTTTTTCCCCCCATAACTCCCCTCCTCCCAGTTCCCGCCCCACCCTCCACCCTCACTCCCCACCCACTGTCCTCATCCATAGGTACACGATTTTTGTCCAGTCTCTTCCCGCATCTCCCACACCCCTATCCCCCCCAGGAATAGTCAGTCCATTCCCTTTCTATGTCCCTGATTCTATTATAATCAACAGTTCATTCTGTTCATCAGATTATTTATTCACTTGATTCTTAGATTCACTTGTTGATAGATGCATATTTGTTGTTCATAATTTGTATCTTTACCTTTTTCTTCCTCTTCCTCTTCTTAAAGGATACCTTTCAGCATTTCATATAATCCAGGTTTGGTGGTGATGAACTCCTTTAGCTTTTCCTTATCTGTGAAGCTCTTTATCTGACCTTCAATTCTGAATGATAGCTTTGCTGGATAAAGTAATCTTGGTTGTAGGTTCTTGGTATTCATCACTTTGAATATTTCTTGCCACTTTCTTCTGGCCTGCAAAGTTTCTGTTGAGAAATCAGCTGACAGTCGTATGGGTATTCCCTTGTAGGTAACTGAGTTTCTTTCTCTTGCTGTTTTTAAGATTCTCTCTTTATCTTTTGCTCTTGGCATTTTAATTATGATGTGTCTTGGTGTGGTCCTCTTTGGATTCCTTTTGTTTGGGGTTCTCTGCGCTTCTTGGACCTGTAAGTCCATTTCTTTCACCAGGTGGGGGAAGTTTTCTGTCATTATTTCTTCAAATAGGTTTTCAATATCTTGCTCTCTCTCATCTTCTGGCACCCCTATAATTCTGATGTTGGTACGCTTGAAGCTGTCCCAGAGGCTCCTTACACTATGCTCGCATTTTTGGATTCTTTTTTCATTTTGCTTTTCCGGTTGGGTGTTTTTTGCTTCCTCGCATTTCAAATCATTGACTTGATTCTTGTGCTCCTCTGGTCTGCTGTCGGGAGTCTGTATAATATTCGTTATTTCAGTCCGTGTATGCTTAATTTCTAGTTGGTTCCCCAATATAAGATCGAGGGTCTTATTAGTTTTCTTGTAGATCTCATTAAGTTTATCGGCGGCTTCTAAACAGTTCTTGAGAGACCTTAAAAGTGTGGTTCTGGCCAAAACCGGTTTGGCTTAGTGGATAGAGCGTCGGCCTGCGGACTGAAAGGTCCCAGGTTCGATTCCGGTCAAGGGCATGTACCTGGGTTGCGGGCACACCCCCAGTAGGAGATGTGCAGGAGGCGGCTGATCGATGTTTCTAACTCTCTCTATCTCTCTCCCTTCCTCTCTGTTAAAAATCAATAAAATATATTTAAAAAAAAAAAAAAAGTGTGGTTCTGAACTCTATATCTTCCATTGACAATTTTGTCCTGTTTCTTTGTCTCCGCATTTTGTTATGCTTCCTTGGTACACCCCCTAGTGGTCTTTGTTCGCAGTCTTATAGTTAAATCTTGATTGTTGTAGCTAATTCCAGGGAGGGTTTGACCTCCAGGCCAAGTGGCTATGAGAATCAGCTGTGTCAGCAGTGAGAGAACTTCTGTCCTCTAGGGAGGTGCTAATCTAGCCTTTGCCTGAGGCTATCCGGCAAAAGCCTCTGTGCAGGGCTTGGGCGGGGCGGGTCGCACAGGATCAACAGGGTGGGCTGGACAGAGCAGTTATGGCGGCTCTCAGTCCTGTCCCCAGGGGCTCTGCCTCTCTGAGTCCCAGCACCCGCTGCAAAGCTCAGAGAGAAAGCTGCACTCCCTCCGACCGAAGCCAGACAGTCCCGCTTCTCCCGTTTGAGTCTGGGTCCCTAAAGACTCGCCCGGATCTGGAGCTCAGAGTCTGCGACTCCCTCCCGATTGAAAACGCCAACCGCGCCCTCCGCCGCCAGCCCGCTGCGCGCACTCCGCACCTCAGAACTTGACTTCAGCACTGCGCCTCCTCTGAGTGTCCGTATGCGTTTCTCTTTCCTCCTAGTTGTAGGACTTCCACTCAGCCAGCGTTCCTGTGGTTCTGGGTGATGTCCCTTCCGTTTTTTGGTTTCACTTTTGAAGTAGTTGTTCAAAGCAGCAAACCCCGGCGTTAACCTATGCCGCCATCTTGGTTCTCCTTCTTGGGGGTATTTAGAGAATAAAGATATCAACATCTCTAACTGTTTATATTGTAAAGTTATTTGGCTGAGGTTCCTTCATGAACAGAATCCTATGTGTTTAGACTTTCCAAAAATTGCTAGCCCTCTCATGAATTCCTTATTTTCCAATGCTGTGATACAATTACTATGTCCTTATTTCTTTTGTTCCCATCTCATGATTGGTTTGCTTACACTGGAAGTCTCTCTGCAGCTATCTTTGACTCAGCTTTGCTAATTATCTAAAAATAATTGAACTTTATTAACATTTTAAATAATTGTCCTAAGTCTATATACATATATATATGTATATACATACTCTCACAAATTTCCTCAAAAAAAATTGCTATCATCATAAACATTTATCATCATAAACAGTCATCATCACAAACATTTCTGTTTTGCTTGATCCTAGAGAAAATGTCCTATTTGACCCAATTAAATATGGATTTTGATTTGAATCCAACTAAATGGAACTAACTTTCTTTAGTGTTCTACTTAAAGAAATATAAATTACACAACCCCAAATTTTATTTTTGTTTTTTCTCTTATTTTAATTTGTAGACGATGGGTTATTTTGTATTATTGGGAATACCTGCCACAGGAAATAGAACTGCTGTTGTCTCTTGGACTTTTTTCAACTCATTTGTAACTTCCGTAATTATCGTAACTACAATAGGTAGGTATTGTACTTTTCTTTTTCCACTTAGGATGTTAAATATTTTATAATTGTTTTGCATGAAGCACTACGTCTACATATTTCCCGTACCCAGTATCTTAGATTTAATGAAATAGAGTAGTGCGTTTAAGGCAGCGGTTCTCAACCTGTGGGTCGCGACCCCTTTGGGGGTCAAATGACCCTTTCACAGGGGTTGCCTAAGACCATCGGAAAACACATGTATAATTACATATTGTTTTTGTGATTAATCACTATGCTTTAATTATGTTCAATTTGTAACAATGAAATTGGGGGTCACCACAACATGAGGAACTGTATTAAAGGGTTGTGGCATTAGGAAGGTTGAGAACCACTGGTTTAAGGGGCACTGAGTCTACTAAGATAAAAGAGGACAGCTAGCAATATTTTTACTAAAAAGGCCATTTTTCTTTTCCCGTACATTTGGGTCCCTTAAAATCTTGGCTGAGACTGTGGTCTCTGAACCAGGAATTATCTGGAATAAGAAAGGTTTCCGTCCACACACTTCAACAAAAAAATGTTTCAAATCTAAAAAAAAATGTTCCTAAATAAGTAAAATGGGACTTAATTCTCATCTCCCACTCCCCCAAAAGCAACATCACCAAGTCTTTGGCAAAAAAAGGGGGCTATGAGAGAGGCAAAAAAAAAACTATTATTATAAGGTGCTCCTAAAAGGGGTAGGTTATAGTTGCAGAGCAGAGTGTAAATGTGATCACGTAGGATGATATAAAAAAAGAAACCAGAATGTGGAATGATGGAGAAGGGAGGAAAGAGGGAGAAAATAATAGGGGGAGAGGGGGTTAAGTACTTTCAATGTACAATACCAGGAATCAGGAATTTATAAAGAAAATTTAAATAGAGGTTTAAGAATATTGTTTAAAAGTACAAAGGTAGCCCTAACCAGTTTGGCTCAGTGGATGGAGCATTGGCCTGCGGACTGAGGGGCCCCAGATTTGATTCCAGTCAAGGGCATGTACCTTGGTTGCGGGCACATCCCCAGTAGGGAGTGTGCAGGAGGCAACTGATGGATGTTTCTCTCTCATCAATGTTTCTAACTATTTCTCTCCCTTCCTCTCTGTAAAAAAATCAATCTATCTATATAATAGAGGAATATGCAAATTAGCTGGGACATCGTAACGTCACGACTGAACAGCAGGGACCTGAGGCTGCACAGCACCTGGCCCTGCAAGGGACATCAGGCCATGCCCCCCACCCCAACAACAGGCCTGGAGACATCAGGCTGTGCCTCCTGCCCCACAGGACTTGACGGGGGACCTCAGGCCATGCCCCCCCACCCTAGTGCCGAGCCAGGAGACCTCTGGCCGTGCCCCCTGCCCAATGGGGTTTAACGGGACCTCAGGCCACACCCTCTGCCTTGGCGCCGGACCAGGGGTCCTGAGGCTGTGCCTCCCACCCAGAGGGGCTTGACAAGGGTGGAACCAGCCCGATCTGGGTCTCACCCAATGAGGGTGGGGCCAGCTGTGTCTGGGTCTCATATAATTTTGAGGTGCACGTGGGTGGGTGGGGACTTGACTCTAGGTCCTGCGGCGCACCCCAGACCCTGACAGGAGGGAGATTTTCATATACATTTTACTAATTTTCTTTCATTTCTGATACTTCTATTATAAAGAAAGGGAAAATAGCAATATTAAAGTATTTCCTCTAATTAATTCCCCTTTAATGTGCATGAATTTTGTGCACCAGGCCACTAGTAAAATATATTTAAAAATAAATAAATAAATAAATAATAAAATAAAAGTACAAAGGCAAATACAAAAGAATGAAAAATAGCAATATAAATATCAAACCTGGAGAGGAGCATTAAGAAGGTGGATTCAATTCAATAAGAATTGAATCCCTATATTTTATATAAAAATATCAATAAAAATATTATCTAAAATTTAAAATTGATAAATCAGCACATGGATATATAACCATATACATAAGTCTAATTCAACAGGATAGTTTTTAAGCAAAACTTGCACCACAAAATTGGTCTCACCCTGCAGATAGGGTCTGTCCTTTTATATTTCTACTAGAGGCCCAGTGCATGAAATTAGTGCACAAGGTATGTATGTGTGTGTGTGTGTGTGTGTGTGTGTGTGTGTGTTTATGTGTGTGTGTCCCTCAGCCCGGCCTATGCCCTCTTGCAATCCAGGACCCCTTGGGTAGGGTCCCTAGACCTGGCCAGTGATCGGGGTCTATTAGGGCTTTCCTTCTCTACCCCCCCAACTCCCCCCCGGCTGCCAGCAGCTGGCCCCACCCCCACCCATGCCACTGCTTGCCATCTGTGCAGTGGTGCCCCTCCTCCCCTGCCACTGGTCTACTCCCTCTGTGAGCTACAGGTGTGGGATGCAATTGCTGGCTGGCCCCGCACACCCACCACAGTGTCACTGGCTGGTGGCCCTGCCCACCCATCCAGGGCTCTACAATCAATCACTGCACAGAGAGAGGCCCTGCCCACCGGCTGCAGCACTGCCAGCCAGGTAGCTTGAGCCTCCCTTTTTGGGGCAATCAGATCACAGGGCTCTGCAATCGTGGAGCCCCCCCGCTTCCTCCCCAATCAATTGCCCGGTTGGCTGGTGAACTGGGTCTCCATCTGCAGGGCAGTCATGGGGCAATGGTGGGGCCCCCCAACCAACTGCATTGCACCTGCCTTGGCTGGCCTGGTGCCAGTGCATGTCATAGCATGGTTGTCCGGAAGATCAGATGGTTGTTCTTCTGTTCAGTCATTTGGTTGATTTGCATATTACACTCTTATTATTATAGATGTCAGACCGCTATTGGTATAGGTGTGGGCAAACCTCACAGGTGAGTCTGTTCCACTGGGATAAAGGCAATTTTCAAAAGAAGGAGGAAAATAAAATTGGAACAGACTCATAGACACAGAGAACAAAATTGATGGTTGCCAGAGGGGAGTGGGTTAGTAGATCAGGTGAAGAAGGTAAAGGGATTAAGAAGTACAAATTGATCGTTACAAAATAGTCACAGGGATGTAGAGAACAGCATAGATAATATAGTCAATAATCCTATCTAATAAAAGAGTAATATGCAAATTAACCGTCACACCCTCACTCCCTCACTCCATCATTCCATCACAAAGATGGCGGCGGCCACGGAGCTGGAGTGAGCAGGAGGCTTAGGTTGCCCTGGCGATGGAGGAAGCCAAGCTTCCTGCCTGCCCTGGCCGGCCCTGAGTTCCGCTCAAGGCTACAAAATTTCAATTATAGAAGATAATAAATCCCAGATATCTGTTTCCAGCCACCATGGCCTCTGCTCAAGGAGGGGCTGGGAACATGGGTTACCAGAGGCAACCCAGGCTTTGAGCAGGACCAAGGCTACAAAGTTTTAATTAGAGAAGTTAAATAAATCCCAGATACCTGCTTCCAGCCCATGGCCGTGGACAGCCTGTAAATAGCCATCAGCCCCTCACCCAGGCTGGCCAGGCATCACAATAGGGACCCCAAACCTGAAGGGGGTGTGACCAGACTGCAAACAGCCATCAGCCCCTCACCCAGGCTGACCAGGCACCCAAGTAGGGAACCCCATCCTGAAGGGGCTATGGCCAGCCTGCAAACATCCATCAGCCCCTCACCCAGGCTGGCCAGGCACCATAGCAGGACCCTGACCCTGATCCAGGACACCATTCAGGGCAAACCAGCCATTCCCCACCTGTGCACCAAGCCTCTATCCTATATAATAAAAGGGTAATATGCAAATTGACCCTAACAGCAAAACGACTGGGAATGACTGGTCACTATGACACACACTGACCACCAGGGGACAGACGCTCAATGCAGGAGCTGCCCCTGGTGGTCAGTGCTCTCCCATATGGGGAGCTCTGCTCAACCACAAGCCCGGCTGAAGGCTGCCAGCACAGCAGTGGTGGCGGGAGCCTCTCCCACCTCCTCAGCAGCGCTAAGGATGTCCAACTTCAGCTTAGACCTGCTCCCCGCTGGCAAGTGGACATCCCCCAAGGGCTCCTGGGCTGCCAGAGGGATATCTGACTGCCTCCGAGGGGCCCCAGACTGCAAGAAGGCACAGGCCGGGCTGAGGAACCCCCCAAGTGCACAAATATTTGTGCACCAGGCCTCTAGTCTCTATATAAAAGCCTAATATGCAAATTGTCCACTCAGGCAGGAGTTTGACCACTCGCTATGATGTGTACTGACCACTAGGAGATGGTGCGGAATGAAGGGAGGCCCTGGCTGGCGGCCAGCAGCCAGGGAAGGGAAGCCCTGGTCAGCAACCGGCAGCCACTGGGGACACTATCAATGCACGATTTTCATGCACTGGGTCTCTAGTGTTGTGATAACTATATATGGTGTTAGTGGGTACTGGAAATATCTGGGGATACACTTTGTAAAGTATATGATTATCTAACTGCTATGCTATACACAAAAACTAATACAAAGTAATATTGAGTGTAAACTGTAATTAAAAAATAAAATTAAGGGTGGGGTAAGAGATCAACTAAAGGACCTTTATGCATGCATATAATCATAACCAATGGATACAGGCAGTAGGTGGGTGAGGGCAGGTGCTGGGGATGGGAGTGGCTTGGGAGAAGTCAATGGGGGGAAAAGGAAACATGTAATATTTGAAACAATAAAGAATTTTTTAAAAAAAATAGCCCTCAGCTGGTTTGGCTCACAGGATAGAGTATTGGCCTGTGGACTAAAGGGTCCAGGTTCGATTCCTGTCAAGGGCACATGCCTGGGTTTCAGGCTCAATCCCCAGTAGGGGCCATGCAGGAGGCAGCCAATTAATGATTCTCTCTCATCATTGATGTTTCTATCTCTCTCTCCCTCTCCCTTCCTCTCAGAAATCAATAAAAAAAAAATATTTTTAAAAAATATCTCTGGCCAATGTGGCTCAGTTGGTTGGGCACCAAAAGGTTGCTGGTTCGAATCCCAATCAGGGCACATGTCTGGGTTGTGGGTTCAATCCCCAGTAGGGGTGTGCAGTAGGCAGCCGATCAATGTTTTGCTCTTACATTGATGTTTCTCTCTCTCTCCCTCTCCCTTTCTCTTTCTCTAAAAACAAATAAAAAATCTTTAAAAAAAATAATTTAAAAAGAGGAGACAACTGCCTTAGCAAGAAATATACTAAAGGCAGTTGGGGGTAGGTGTACCAGAAGGGTCAAAAGAATCTGAGTGAGGCTCAAGAACATAAAATCCAGCATGCATTCTAAAATTAGTTGAATCTTATGTTGATGCTACTAACTTTCTTATTTAATTGCAGTAAAATGTGCTAAATGTAGAAAACTTGGAAAACACAGAACGATACAATGCTATATAATAAAGAGATAATATGCAAATTGACCCTCACACCCTCACAAAGATGGCTGCCTGTGACCAGGCCAGCAAGAGAGTTAGTGAGGATGACCAAATGACTGAACAAGCAGGCTGTGTGGGGCAACCAGGCCGGCAGGGGGCCATAAGGGGCAACCAGGCTGGCATCAGGGGGCAGTTGGGGGCAACCAGGCCAGTGGGGGGGGGGGCATTTGGGGGTGACCAGGCCAGCAGAGGGGGGCAGTAAAAGGCGACCAGGCCAGCAGGGGAGAGGCAGTTGGGGGTGATTAGGCTGGCAGGGAGGGGCAGTTAAGGGTGACCAGGCCAGCAGGGAGGGGTCAGTTGGGAGTGACTCACTGGCGGGGGGGAGGCAGTAAGGGGTGACCAGGCTGGTGGGGGAAGGGGCAGTTAAGAGCAACCAGGTTGGCAGGGAGGGGGTAGTTGGGGGCAACTTGGCTGGCAACAGGGGCAGTTAGGAGTGACCAGGCCAGCATGGGGGGCAGTTAGGGGCAACCAGGCAGGCAGGCAGATGAGCAATTAGGAGCCAGCGGTCCAGGATTGTGAGAGGGATGTCTGATTCCTGGGGATCGGGCCTAAACCGGCAGTCAGACATCCCCTGAGGGGTCCCAGATTGGAGAAGATGCAGGCTAGGCTGAGGGGACACACTCCCCCCCAAATGCATGAATTTCATGCACTGGGCCTCTAGTTTTTAAATAACTGTCCATAATCTCACTGCTCCACAAGCAATAGAAAGTTCTTTGCCATAGAAAGTTTTTCATATAATGACAGTATGTAGTTTTAGACTGCTGTCTCCAAGCAATGTCATTAGTATCTTTCTATGTCATATAGACGTATTATAATTCTAATCACACTATTTAATTATATCAATATATTATAATGTACATAATCAGCCTCTATTATTGAACATTTATGTTGATTCAGTTTTTGGAAAGCAATAGCTTGAAAAACTTTTCTTAATTTTAGCCCACATTTCTTAATTATTTGCTTAGGATAAGTTCTAGCTAAGTCATTGTGGTTTTTTGTTTGTTTTTGTTAAAAATGTGCAGTACATACTGCAGGTGAGCAGTGTGCACTGGGGCTCTTAGAATACCAATGACTAAAAATTTGCTCTCAAAGCCCAATGATAAATGTGCATATTATACCAGTTTCCATTTGTGGGGCATTGAATTTATCTTTTTTTCTCTTATCAGGTTATGGGACAGTTTTTCCTAGGACTACTGGTGGACAACTGTTCTGTATTGTCTTTGCTGCAATTGGAATCCCTCTAACTATCATAGTCTTAAATTGTATTAGTAAATTTATTTTTCTGCCATTTGAAAAACTTGGAAACTACCTTCAACATAAGGGTGTAAATGAGGTAAGGCCTCTCTCTCTCTCTCTCTCTCTCTCTCTCTCTCTCTCTCTCTTTCTTTCTCTCTCTTTACACACACACATACACACCTGGTAGAGAAGTTTTGTTTCTTTAAACATATATATGGATTCACAACCTTAGATTAACTAAGCACATGACATGTATAAATTCTTTTTTTTTTTTTCTGCCTGCTTGATATGTCCATTTCTGATAGAGTGATGATAAAGTTGCCAACTCTAAGAGTGGATTCACCTATTTCTTCTTGCAGTTGCATCATTTTTTTCCTCAAGTATTTTGTTTTTGTTTTTTTTTAATTTTTTATTGCTTACAATATTACAAAGGGTATTACATATGTGTCCCTTTTTTTCCCCCGCCCTTGACAATCCCCTGGCCTCCCCTACCCCCCAGTGTCTTATGTCCATTGGTTATGCTTATATGCATGCATACAAATCCTTTGGTTGATCTCTTACCCCCCTCCCTCCTGCCCCCCATCCCTCCCCGGCCTTCCCACTGCAGTTTAACAATCTGTTTGAGGCAGCTCTGCCTCTGTATCTATTATTGTTCAAAAGTTTATAATGGTCTCTATTATCCATGAATGAGTGAGATCATGTGGTATTTCTCCTTCATTGACTGGCTTATTTCACTTAGCATAATGCTCTCCAGTTCCATCCATGCCATTGCAAATGGTAAGAGTTCCTTCCTTTTTAGAGCAGCATAGTATTCCATCATGTAGATGTACCACAGTTTTCTAATCCATTCATCTACTGATGGGCACTTAGGCTGTTTCCAGATTCTAGCTATGGTGAATTGTGCTGCTATGAGCATAGGGGTGCATATACCCTTTCAGATTGGTGTTTCTGGTTTCTTGGGATATATTCCTAGAAGTGGGATCACAGGGTCAAATGGGAGTTCCATTTTTAGTTTTTTGAGGAAACTCCATACTGTCTTCCATAGTGGCTGCACCAGTCTGCATTCCCACCAGCAGTGCACGAGTGTTCCTTTTTCTCCACATCCTCTCCAGCACTTGTCTTTTGTTGATTTGTTGATGATAGCCAGTCTGACAGGTGTGAGATGGTACCTCATTGTTGTTTTGATTTGCATCTCTCAGATGATTAGTGACTTTGAGCATGTTTTCATATGTCTGTTGGCTTTCTGAATGTCCTCTTTTGAAAGGTGTCTATTTAAGTCCTTTGCCCATTTTTTGATTGGATTGTTTATTTTCCTTTTGTTAAGTTGTATGAGTTCCCTATAAATTTTGGAGATTAGGCCCTTATCAGATATGACATTGGCAAATATGTTTTCCCACGCAGTGGGTTTTCTCGTTGTTTTGTTGATGGTTTCTTTTGCTGTACAGAAGCTTTTTATTTTGATGTAGTCCCATTTGTTCATTTTCTCTTTAGTTTCAAGTGCCCTAGGAGCTGTATCAGTGAAGAAATTGCTTTGGCATATGTCTGAGATTTTGTTGCCTTTGGATTCTTCTAGAATTTTTATGGTTTCCTGTCGTATATTTAAGTCCTTTTTCCATTTTGAGTTTATTTTTGTGTATGGTGTAAGTTGGTGATCTAGTTTCATTTTCTTGCATATATCTGTCCAATTTTCCCAACATATTTATTGAAGAGACTATCTTGGCTCCATTGTATGTTCTTGCCTCCTTTGTCAAATATTAATTGAGCATATTGGTTCAGGCCGATTTCTGGGCTCTCTATTCTATTCCATTGATCTATATGTCTGTTCTTGTGCCAGTACCAGGCAGTTTTGAGAACAGTGGCTTTGTAATACAGCTTGATATCTGGTATTGAGATCCCACCTACTTTATTCTTCTTTCTCAGGATTGCTGCAGCTATTCGGGGTCTTTTTTTTATTCCAGATGAATTTTTGGAGAGTTCGTTCTAGATCTCTGAAGTATGCCATTGGTATTTTAATGGGAAGTGCGTTGAATTTATAGATTGCTTTGGGTAGTATGGACATTTTAATGATGTTGATTCTACCAATCCATGAACACGGTATGTTCTTCCATCTGTTTATGTCTTCCTCCATATCTTTTTTCAACGTCCTGTAGTTTTCTGAGTAGAGGTCTTTTACCTCTTTAGTTAAGTTTATTCCTAGGTAGCTTAATTTTTTTGGTGCGATGGTGAATGGGATTGTTTTTATAATCTCTCTTTCTGAAAGCTCACTATTGGTGTATAGAAATGCCTCAGATTTCCTGGGGTTAATTTTGCTACATTGCCAAATTCATTTATTAAGTCTAGTAGCTTTTTGATGGAGTCTCTAGGGTTTTGTATGTATAATATCATGTCACCTGCAAATAAAGACAGTTTTACTTCCTCTTTTCCAATTTGGATGCCTTTTATTTCTCCTTCTTGCCTAATTGCGATGGCTAATACTTCCAGGACTATGTTGAACAGGAGTGGTGAGAGTGGGCATCCCTGTCTTGTTCCTGTTCTTAGGGGAAATGGTGTTAGTTTTTGTCCATTGAGTATGATGTTGGCTGTGGGCCTGTCATATATGGCTTTTATTATGTTGAGGTATGATCCTTCTACTCCCACCTTGCTGAGAGCTTTTATCAAAAATGGGTGTTGAATTTTGTCAAATGCTTTTTCTGCATCAATTGATATGACCATGTGGTTTTTTTCTTTCAATTTGTTTATGTGATGTATCACGTTTATTGATTTGCGGATATTGTACCATCCTTTCATCCCTCGGATAAATCCTACTTGGTCATGGTGTATGATCTTTCTGATGTACTGCTGGATCCGATTTGCTAAGATTTTGTTGAGGATTTTGGCATCTATGTTCATGAGGGATATTGGCCTGTAATTCTCTTTCATTGTGTTGTCTTTATCTGGTTTTGGTATTAGGGTGATGCTGGCTTTGTAGAATGAGCTTGGAAGTGTTCCTTCCTCTTGAATTTTTTTTTTAATATATTTTATTGATTTTTTACAGAGAGGAAGGGAGAGAGATAGTCAGAAACATTGATGAGAGTGAAACATTGATCAGCCGCCTCCTGCACATCCCCCACTGGGGATGTGCCCGCAACCCAGGTACATGCCCTTGACCGGAATCGAACCTGGGGCCTTTCAGTCTGCAGGCCAACGCTCTACCCACTGAGCTAATCCGGTTTTGGCCCTCTTGAATTTTTTGTAGTAGTCTGAGGAGGATAGGTTTTAGTTCTTCCTTGAATGTTTGGTAAAACTCCCCTGTGAAGCCGTCTGGTCCTGGGCTTTTGTTTGCTGGAAGCTTTTTGATGACTGCTTCAATTTCTTCCATAGTTATTGGCCTGTTGAGATTTTTAGATTCTTCCTGATTGAGTTTTGGAATGTTGTATTTTTCCAGGAATATGTCCATTTCCTCCAGGTTGTCTAGTTTGTTGGAGTAGAGTTGTCCATAGTATTTTTTAACAATCATTTGTATTTCTGAGGGGTCTGTTGTTATTTCGCCTCTATCATTTCTGATTTTGTTTATTTGGGTCCTCTCTTTTTGCTTCTTGGTGAGTCTGGCTAGAGGTTTGTCAATTTTGTTTATCCTTTCAATGAACCAGCTCTTGGTTTCATTGATTTTCTGTATTGTTTTTTTTGGTCTCTATGTCATTTATTTCTGCTCTAATCTTTATTATCTCCTTCCTTCTGCTCACTCTGGGCTTTTCTTGTTGCTCTCTTTCTAATTCTTTGAGTTGTAGAGTTAGATGATTTACCACCATTTTTTCTTGGTTTTTGAGATAGGCCTGTAGAGCTATAAACTTCCCTCTCAGGACTGCTTTCATTGTGTCCCATAGGTTTTGGATTGTTGTGTTTTCATTGTCATTAGTTTCCAGGATGTTTTTGATTTCTTCTTTGATCTCATTGTTAACCCAATCAATATTTAATAACATGCTATTCAGCTTCCAAGTGTTTGAGTATTTGGGGTTGTTTTTAATGTAGTTTATTTCTAATATTATGCCATCATGATCTGAGAAGATGCTTTTTATGATTTCAATCTTCTTGAATTTGGGGAGATTTTGCTTGTGACCCAATATGTGGTCTATTTTTGAATATGTCCCATGAGCATCAGAGTGGAATGTATATTCCGTGGCTTTGGGGTGAAGTGTTCTGAAGATGTTTATTAAGTCCATCTGATCTAGTGAGTCATTTAGGATTGCTGTTTCTTTGCTGATTGTTTTTCTAGAGGACTTATCCAGTGCTGTCAGTGGTGTATTAAAGTCCCCTACTATGATTGTATTGTTGTTGATCTCTCCTTTGATATCTTCCAGGAGTTTTTTTATGAACTTGGGTGCTCCTGCATTGGGTGCATATATGTTTACCAGAGTTATATCTTCTTGTTGTATTGATCCCTTTAGTATTATGAAGTGGCCTTCCTTATCTCTTGTTATGGCCTTCACTTTGAGGTCTATTTTGTCTGATATAAGTATTGCTACCCCAGCTTTCTTTTCCTTTCCATTTGCCTGAAAGATATTTTTCCATCCCTTCACTTTCAATCTGTGTGAGTCCCTTCTAATGAGGTGGGTCTCTTGTAGACAGCAGATGTATGGGTCATGTTTTTTTATCCATTCAGCCACTCGATGTCTTTTGGTTGGAGCATTTAGTCCGTTTACGTTTAAAGTTATTATTAAAAGGTACTTGTTTGTAGCCATTTCTTTTTTTGTGTGGCTTTTTTCTTTCTGAGCTTTTTATATCTTCTTTTTACACCAGTCCCTTTAGCATTTCTTGCATTGCTGGCTTGGTGGTGATAAACTCCCTTAGCCTTTTTTTTTGTCTGTGAAGCTTCTTATTTCCCCTTCAATTTTGAGTGATAGCCTTGCTGGATAGAGTATTCTTGGATTCAGTCCTTTGCTTTGCATCACTTTGTAAATTTCCATCCATTCTTTTCTGGCCTGATGTGTTTCTGTTGAGAAATCATTTGATAATCTGATGGGGGATCCTTTGTAGGTAACTCTCTGTTTCTCTCTTGCAGCCTTTAAGATTCTGTCTTTGTCTTGTACATTTGCCATCGTTATTATGACATGTCTTGGTGTGGGTCTTTTGGGGTTCATCTTGCCTGGGACTCTCTGTACTTGTGTAACTTTTTTCTTCCCCATATCTGGGAAGTTTTCTGACATTATTTCTTCAAATAGATTTTCTAATCCTTGCTAATCTTCTTGTCCTTCTTGCAGCCCTATTATGCGTATGTTACTTCATTTCATGTTGTCCCGAAGCTCCCTTAGGCTCTCCTCCTGCTTTTTAATTCTTTTCTCCAGTTGCTGTTCAGATTGAGCTTGTTTCTCTGCCTTATCTTCTAATTCACTAATTCGGTCCTCTGCTTCTTCTAGTCTGCTGTTGAAACTTTCCATGGTGTTTTTGATTGTAGCTATATCACTTTTCATTTCTTCCTGATTCTTGCATAGGTTGTTGATTTTCTCATCCATCCGGTGAATGAATTGTACAACCATTATTCTGAATTCTTTTTCTGTCATGTTGCATGCTTCAACTTCATTAATGTCCTTTCTTGGTGACTCCTCATTGTCTTTCCCCTGGGTGTTGTTTTGTCTCTTCATTCTGATTATCTCCCGATGGTTCAAACGTCGAGTTGCGTGGGCCTGGGCCGTGTACAGTGGGCGCCTCCCACCACTCTAGTGTCACTGAAGAGCTCTGACACTAAGATGTGTGGTTGTTGTGAGTTGGTGGGAACCAGGCTCACTCAGAGTCAGTGTTGTCAGCGCTCAATGTGGCCTCGTTCGCGCCCTTAGAATCAGGTACCCTGCCTGCACCGTGCTGAAACAGAGACCCCCCTGAAGCGTGTTGAAAACCAGAGCCCCCTAGCGTGAGCCAGGAGTCAGAGTTCCCCAGAATCCAGTATCAGAGTCTCTATTGCTTCGCGCAACCTTGCCTTGAGAATCAGGGTTCCTGTGTGCCCTTGCACCAGGAATTGGAGTCACTGGCTCTTAGTATGAATGCACAGGAAATCAGGATCTCAGGCGCAGGTGAAAACAAACACAGTCAAGTCACTGGTGCTTGGTGCTGCCACCTGCCCAGAGAATCGGGGTCCCTGGGCCTGTGATGCGTGGGACCAATTCCTGGTGTTCGCACGATTGCTCCCAGCCCAGGGCTCAGAAGCTGGCAGTGCATGTAGGATCAGTTCCAAGGTACTTGCGCACTTCCAGGCTAAAGTTCCTGGAGCGCTGAGGCCCCGGCAAGGGGTGGGTCTATCAGTTAGTTACTCTGGTGCTGCCCGAAAGCCTGTGGGAAGGGGGGATGGGCTCTGTTACTCACGGATCTGCTGCGGGGATTTCTGAACTTTTGGTGTCCGCAGGTCTGTAGCTGTGGTCACAGGTCTCTGTCCCCAGTGGCTGCAGGGTCCTGCGTCTGAGATCAGACTGGGCGGTGCTGAGGCCAGGATCGTAGTCTCAAGCAGCTCTGTTTCCCAAGATGGCATGGTCGCCGTGCCTGTGCTGGCCGCCCAGGAGTGTCCGCGCAGGGAGCGGGACTCCGCTGCCTAAGACTGCCTGGTTTAGCAGCCCCTTAGAAGACCTGCAGAATCTAACTGTCCCTAGCTCTTACACACACACCACACGCGTCCACACACTCCTCTATCACTTCCTTGCGCTCTCACACTCTCTCCCTCCCTACCTTCCTGCTGGTCACCATTTTTGCGACATGTATAAATTCTTACTGAACTCATGTTGAATGCAATTTGTAGAAGTAGAATGAGCAAGTCATTCTGTGTTATAAAACAGATGTGAGAAAATCCAGTGTTCAAGAGACCATCTATTTCCTCTTAGGTAATTAACCTCTAATCACTGAACTTACAATAAGATGAGTAGTGGTGAATTGTGTATGAATTAAGTGATCTCAGAAGTCATTTAGTCAACTCCTTCCTTTTACAGAACAGGAAAACATTTCATAAAGGCTAGGTGGCTTGTTCAAGATCACCTAGGGCAGTGATCGGCAAGCTCATTAGTCAACAGAGCCAAGTATCAACAGTACAACGATTGAAATTTCTTTTGAGAGCCAAATTTTTTAAACTTAAACTATATAGGTAGGTACATTGTTATTAACTTAATTAGGGTACTCCTAAGGCTTAGGAAGAGCCACACTCAAGGGTCCAAAGAGCCGCATGTGGCTCACGAGCCGCAGTTTGCCAACCATGGAAGAACCAGCAGCAGTGCCGGCACTAACCCCAGAGATGTTTGGATGAAGGCTTTGACTACATACATATCATGTTAAATCATGTGTGGTCAACTCAATAATTAACACAGGTTTTACCCTTTTTAAAATAATTACAATGCAATTATTTATTAAAATAGTTACAATGCAATTATTTATTAAAATAATTGAGAATTTATTATTAAATCAAGTTGTTGACATTCTTTAAGGTATTTTGTTTTCTATAAAGGAATATAGAGAGGTTGTCCCCTTCAGAGAGCCCAAGGAAGCAGGCGAGATTCCCCTTAATCATTGATGTGATCAAGTCCTTACTCTTGGTCAGAGCACTTCACAATGGAAGCAGCACTTTCTTTGTTCTTTCTTTGTGTCCTTTTTGGAGGTCTATGGTTACTGTAGGATTTGCTTTGTTAATAGATTGGCATTGCCACAAAAAAAAAAAAACCAGTACACCTTGGGGCCTAATGTGATCACTATAACAAATTAATATCAAAACAAATCTCCTATGCAACTGTATTTTAAAAACCTAGCACTGTTATTTGTGGTACTTAGAACGTTATAGTTATATTGAAATTATATTTAAATTTAAGTAAATGATATGTACATATATAAATGATAAACAAATTTTCTAAATGTTTATTTACTTATCAGAGCTTAGTGAAGGCATAAAATATGGGATTTTATTTCTTTTGTTTGCCTTGTATCTCATATAGTACTGGCCAGCAATAAGGGCAAAATATACTGAAGGAATGATAACTGATGACTATAATAAAGGACTAGAGACTTGATTCATATGATAAAAATAAATTGATAAAAATTTTAAGATTTGTGTCTTGATTTTGTTTGAAAATATAAGTGTATTTGTTCTGTGGGACTCTCTAAACAATAAATAATATATTTATTGATGCCAAATAGTACCCTGATCTTTCAGCTGACAGTTGTCTAATTTACCTTATTATGCAAACAAGTAGGAAGGTGTAGTGCTCTGTCCAGATTGGATGTCCTGTCCAGATAGGCTGTGGGGATGTGGGCAGAGCCCAGAGAAGTGAGGAGCTGTACCCTGATATCTAGGCAAGGACAATCTTAGAAGGAAGTGGGGGTGTTAAAGTGTACATGAAAATTAACCTTAAATCAAAGTCTAGATACAGAGAATCGTAAAGAAAGAACAGAAGAGAAGAAAAGAGATGGAAAAACAAAGGAGGCTATAGAGGAGGTAGAGCAATAGGGCCTGGACATATTCCTAGGGGCAAGATTATTCAAAGGAAGAATCCCTCAGGCTCTAAGCCTTTTAGCAATGAAGGAGTAGATAAGAACACTAAACTAAGAGAGCAAACAATAGTTTTTGAATGCTGCTGGTTTATGATATAACTGCTAACACTGTATCTCTTTTTCTAATATATTTTAGAGCTATGTTACTCTTTGGAAGATGGCACTTTTTATTATAACTGGAACTCTTTTGTTTCTGGCATTACCACCATTTGTTTTTACGTCATTAGAGAATTGGACTTATATTGAAGGAGTTTATTATTCATTCACCACCATAAGCACTATTGGTTTAGGAGACTATGCAATAGGTGAGTCTTAATAATCTTGAAATAAGACTCACTATCATAGCAACAGATTGAAACAGAAATTTAAAAAAAAAAGGCTCAACTAAAAATGTTAACAGATTTCTTTGAATGGTAGATAAAGGTCAAGCCTTTCAAAATAAATCTCCAGTGTATGAATAAACCTGCCCATTCTCCTTCCTCTCTCTTCACACACAATTATCACTATCAGAATACGATACAAAATAATTCCTTTTATTTTTATTTTTTTAATATATTTTATTGAGTTTTTACAGAGAGGAAAAGAGAGGGATAGAGAGTTAGAAACATTGATGAGAGAGAAGCATCAATCAGCTGCCTCCTGCACACCACCCACTGGGGATGTGCCTGCAACCAAGGTACATGCCCTAGACAGGAATTGAACCTGGGACCCCTCAGTCTGTAGGCCAATGCTCTATCCATTGAGCCAAACCATTTAATTACTTTTAAACTAAGTATTTCTGTTAATCACACATGTAATAAAAACACTAGGCTTAAGAGATTAATCCTAGATCATGTACCTTACATAGCTTTTCCAAACTTTATTTCAAATTTCTCCCTAAAATAAAGATGAGAAAAAGGAAAGGAGTAGAGCCATACAGACATTAAGTGTGTCCATAAATATCTGTGACTCACAATTAAAATAGCTCATCAATTATTTGGGGTATAGAATTCTAAATTGGTAGTTATTTTCTTGAGATATTTTAAAGCTGCCATTCCATTGTCTGTGGCTTTCATCATTTCTGATGGTAAGTCAGCTATGTCTTATTGTTGGTCCTTTGAAATAAGGAGCCTTTCCCTTCCTCATCCCTCACTTTTAATCTTTTACTTTTGTCTTCGGCTTTCATCAGTTTAACTATAATTTATTTTGGTGTAGTTTGCATTGTATTGATTCTACTTGGGGATGACAGAGATTATTGAATAGAGGAATTGAAATCTTTTATCTGTTTTGAAAAATTTCAACTACCATGTATTTGAATGCTGATGATTCCTTATTCTCTCTTCTACTTCTGGGACTCCACATGAATGTGAGACCTCCTCACTGCATTTCATGTGTTCTAATAAGCTTCCTGTATTGTCCATATTCCTCTATGAGTTCAGTTAGGACATCTTCTATTTACCAACTTTTAGTTTACTAATTCTATCTTCTGCTATATGTAATGTGCTTTTAAATTTATATAGTGAGTTCTTAATATAATGTTTTTGTTAGTTATAAAGTATCCATTAATCACTCCCTTTTGGTAGGTTCCTGTTCTTTGGTGAAATCCTCCACCTTTTCATCCAGTTTTCCATATTATTTTATATTTTTGAAAAACCACAATAATACCCTGGCTGGTGTGGCTCAGTTGATTGGGCATCATCCCATGAAGCAAAAGGTTGCTGGTTCAATTCCCAGTCAAAGGCACATGCCCGAGGTGGGGGCTGGATCTCCAGTGGAGGGCATGCAGGAGGCAGTCAATCTCACATCATTGTTTCTCTCTCCTTTTCCCTTCCTCTCTCTCTAAAAATCAATAAATTATTCTTTTTAAAAAAACATAATTATAAAACAATTTTCTTACTTCAAATTCTGTATTTTCATTTCTAGCATTCTCATTTCCTTGCCATTAGTTTCCATCTTTCTGCTGAAATTTCCCCCTAAATTTTTCTACGTTACCTACTGTTTCTACTCTATCCTTTATCACGTTGGTCATGGTTATTTTAAATCTTCCTGATAATTCTAATATGTTGTCCATCTTGAAGACTACTAACTGTATTTTCTTTTGATAATGTGTCACATGTTTTTCTTCTTTTTCTAAGTTTTCATTTTATGCCAGCCTGTGTGTAAAAGCGCCATGGAGACTGCAGGAATAATGTGCCCCTTCAGAAAAAGACGCAGTCCTTCTCAATCACTAGTATGAGATGGCGGTGTGGGGGTGAGGCAAAACTAGTGAATCTTCAGATGATCTGGTTCTGGGCTTTGTTGCAGCTTTACTTAGATTCAGTTCATCACTGGGTTGGGTATTTTGAGGCTGATTCAAAACAAACTCTTCGGCTAGTTATGCTCTACCTATAGCTATTTGGGTTTCTGGGGTGTTCTCTTTGCTCTTCGGGCCCCAGTTTCCCCCCTTTGTCAACTGCTGCCTTTATTCTGTGAAAGCCTGATGTGCTTCAGGCATATTCCCTTAGTTCTCCTCTAGGCCTCAGTAGACAATCTTTCTTGCCCATAGTGGGTATCATTCTATAGAAAAGAAAGCAGCCATGAACATCTTCTCTCCTAGGGAGGGATTGTCATATTCTAAAATTTAGTTTATTTCGGGTTCTTTTTCATGTCCTCAGCTCTCAGAATTTAAAAAAAAATAAAACTATAATATTGTAGCTTATCTCATTTTTATCGTTTTGTTAGTGTGGGATGACAATATCCTGTGTCTTTCTACATATTAAATCAGAAGTTCCTTACATTTCTTTTTAATTAGTAAAATATATACTCAGATGATGGCAATAGATTGGACTCCAATCTTAGGTATATTTTTCTTTTATTAGTGTGTGTGTGTGTGTGTGCGCACATGCACACGTGTGCACGTGTGTGTGTTTTGGGAGTCAGTGTTTTGAAGAAGCTGGATCAGAGACAGTTAACCAAATATTATTTGAAACTGAAAGTGAGTGTAGCCTTTCAATTATATTTATTCTCTGATCATTATGCTCCATAAATCTTTTCTGGTTAACTTATAAAATTATAAAGAAATATTGAGTAATTTAATGTCTGATAATTTAAACTATTTCTTGTTCTTTATGCTCTAATAAGCACAGTCAAATTGTATTTTTGTGATAAAGCACTATGTGTTATTTGTTTCTGGTCACTTCTCTTTGACTTCACAGTTCATGCTCTCTCAGCTCCCCCTCCTCATACATATAAATGGCTCATCATAAAAAATAAATGACACCACATGAACAGATTATAAAAGTTGTAGTATTTGTGGTATTAAGATGGTTGAATTATAAGTGATTTTTTTCCTTCTTTAAGTGTTATCCCAAGAGTTTTAATGATAAAAGCAATGAATTTAATGATAAAAGCAATGAATTTATAGAAATATAAGTAAGTGGCCCAGTGAAATGTACTGTTGTTGTTGTTTTTTCAACAAGATCTGAATTCCATTTTAAATAATTTTGTGTTATGTGTTTATCTTTTTCTTATCTTGTTTTAATAGTTTCCCGGCAGTAGCAATGACAAATAAATTACCTCATAGCAAAATATTATACTCATTGCAGTATTTAAAAGGATGATTTTCAAAGGGGAAAAGAATTTTTCAACCTCCAGATGTGCTCTAAGAAAAGAATCATAATATTTGCAATTTGAATTCTATTTTTTTTCCGTGAAAGCAGTGACATTTTGTAGATATACTTTATTTTCTAATTTGTGTATTGGATTAAAGGAGGCATTTTTCTAGGTAGAAATAAGTGGCAAGAAATGTTATGGGGGAAAGTCACCATCTGATGAATTTCATGTTATTTGCTTCCTGTCTTTAGCTTCAAATCCGATGAAAGAGAATGAGAGCGTCACCTACTCAATCTTATTATTAATTTGGAATGGCCATGGTCTGGTCTGGCTTGCTATTGTATTTAATTTGATAACCAAATTCTTTCACGTAATGGAATTGAAGCTGACTGAGGACTCATCTGAAGTAGAACTTGAAAGAGAAGAAAAGAAGACAGATGCTGAAAATCAATTTATTTAGTAGGTTTCCTCCATGCAGGCTGCAGAGGTTGCCACAGAGCCCTTCCGACTGGGGTCAGACCAGGAAGGAGGGCCAAGCAAACAACCTCCTATTTCTCCATAAACTCCTCATGTGAGTCGCCTTTCCACGTCAAAATTTAGCTTCGATTGTCATTAAGGAAAATAGTTTTAAAATATAATGCATATCTCCCCCTTTCCTTGTCCACTTTCCCCACATCAGGCTTACTCCTTGTTGGGTCCACACTGGCATTTGTGTAAATAGAAGCTTATTCTGAAAACTGTGTTCCCATGTTTTTCTACCATGTATTTCAATAAAGATAGAAATATGCATATACAAAACAAAGGAGCTATTTTCATTGGGTCCTGTTTCTTGTACACATTATTTCTAATTTATCAATCAAGGTTTCTCTAAATATGCATTCTTTTTCTCCCAGTTAAATAAGCGAAGCCATTCTAATTTTCATTCAAGTCCAGGGCTCTTTCCTGTGTATTTGCAAAGCGGTTCATGGCGAGCATGCCCGAAGATCACCCACACTGCTCCCCCCTTTCTCTGTGGCTGCGACGCACAGCAGAGGGTCTTGTCCAGATGCCGTCCTCCTGAGAGCAATAATCTGGGTCCGTGAACGTGAAACGCTGCAACCTGAGGGCCCCGGCCAGACTTACCCTAGGTCACCCCGCAGCCCTGGAGGACGCGTCTAGTTCAGTTACAGGGACGAAGCAGGAAGAACCAGGATTAGTCCTTTGGACAGGAAATGCTTCTCAAAGACTTCAAGGGATTAACTCCAGAAGGGCGGCCCAGAGAGGAAAGGAAGGCTTTTTAACCACGACTGACACAGGCCTCCAGCAGTTTGGTCAGAACATTTGGCCGAAGAGAAGTTACTTTGTACTTTCAAGGGGTAAATGGGACTTACAGGTTATACGCTGCAGACGAAAATAGCTAAGAGAACATGCTTCAACTTAAAATCTTTGTTCAGGTAAATGTAATATAAGTCATATAAAGTGTATAATAAAATTAAGAATAAATAAACATATGACACTTTTTTTTCTTGTTGTTAATCCTCACCAGAGGATATTTTTCCATTGGTTTATTTTTAGAGAGTGGAAGGGAGGGAGGGAGGGAGGGGAGGAAGGAGGGGAGAAGGGTAAGAGAGAGAAAGAGAGAGAGAGAGAGAGAGAGAGAGAGAGAGAGAGAGAGAGAGAGAGAAACATCGATGTGAGAGAGACACATCGATTGGTTTCCTCCTGCATGTACCCCAACGGGGCCAGAGATGAAACCTGCAACCCAGGTATTTGCCCTTGACTGGGAATGGAACCTGCAAGGTTTTGGTATGTGGGCACTCTAACCACTGAGCAACACCAGCCAGGGCAAACATGTTATACTATTTATATTACAATCAGAGTGATTATGAAAAGGCGAAAGATTTATGCGATCTGAAGAGAAACCAGAGTATCAGCGTGATTATGAGTGAGTGTAGACTTTTTGTATAAAATGAACAAATAGAAATGGTCCAATTAGTTTCCTTTTCAATATGCTTAAAATAAGCAAGTGGATCTATTTCACGTTTTTGATCAAAAATTTTATTTGGGATATGTATGGCTAGGGTAAATCATTAAGAGGTCTTATTTGGAACCTTGTTTTGGATAGTTTACTGGTTGCTTTTTATCCCAGAGTTGCTATAACCTGCTGTGATGCAATGTTTCAAGAGAAAATGCAATTATAACAAGGGTTCAGAATTAAATTTTTAATTCATTACAAAAGAATAAGTATGTAGGATAGGAGCCATAAAAGAATACAAACCAGAAGAGAAATAGAAAGGATAAAGGTCATAAGAGGTCAAGGCTATGTTAGTAAGCAATAATAATAATAATAAAAGCCCAAGTACCAATGTTGAGACTTAGCCTTACCCACCCTTCCCCACCTCACCACCACCCACACCACAGCCACTTCCTAGAGTGTGCCCATTACCAAGGCTTCACAAACGCACTGTTTCATCGTTTGCTCAAGGCAGGTTTCATTGCAAGGGCAGGGCCCGTGACGAGGGTGGGGCCTCTAGGCCAGCGGTTCTCAACCTGTGGGTTCCGACCCTCTTGGGGGTCGAACGACCCTTTCACAGGGGTTGCCTAAGACCATCGGAAAACACATATATAATTACTATTGTGTTTGTGATTAACCACTATGCTTTAATTATGTTCAATTTGTAATAATGAAAATACATCCTGCATATCAGATATTTACATTATGATTCATAACAGTAGCAAAATTACAGTTATGAAGTAGCAACGAAAATCATTTTATGGTTGGGGGTCACCACAACATGAGGAACTGTATTAAAGGGTCATGGCATTAGGAAGGTTGAGAACCACTGCTCTCGGCATATTATAAACCTTCAGACAGAAAGTGTACCTCCAGACACTGTCCTAGCCACCTTTCCTTTCCGGCCCCAGCAGGTATAGAAAACCAATGCCCAGTTCCTTCTCAAGCAGGGTAGACATAAGGGCTGTGCTTGCTATTTTAGTTTTTTAAATTCTGTTACTTCATTTTATTAAACAATTTCCAATTAACTTGATCATGTGTAAATCAGGGTTTTCCTTTTCCCATGCCTGGTGAAACCCTAGCTGATTAGTTCCCAAAGCCAACACTTAGACTAGCACCATTTTTCTACCAACAGCTACTTATATGTAGACATAACATCTAAAAACAAAGAAGTGTCTCTAGAGGACTGGCCTTAAGAAGAAACACTTATAAAATGGTTGCTAATGTTGCTGTCAAGTGTCTTTCCCTTGGCGCCCCACCCCCCCTTTTAATGTAGAAAGGAATAGTGCCCTGCAAACTCACCCACCTTCGAATTATGGATTTGACACTGTTTGTTGGTCATCCTCTCAAAGTCAATAAAAATAAATACATATTTTTAAATGGGAGTCTTGGTAGGTTTTTTGTTTTGTTTGCTCTACTTCATGGAATATTTTCTTGGCTTTATCTTCTAGCCTATTAATTTTTTGTTTGGAGATAATAGTTTTTTTAAATATGTTTTTTTATCGATTTCAGAGAGAGGAAGGGAGAGTTATAGATAGAAACATCAATGAGAGAGAAATATCGATCGACTGCCTTCTGCACGCCCCCTACTGGGGATCAAGCCTACAACCTGGGCATGTGCCCTGACCAGGAATCGAACTGTTGACCTCCTGGTTCATGTGTTGTTGCTCAACCACTGAGCTACACCAGCCAGGCTGGAGATAATAGTTTTTATGTCCAAGGGCTATTTAAAAAATGTGCTGATTATTTGTTTTTCCTGTCATCCAGTTCTTGTTTTTAAGACAAAATGTTTTCATGAAGATTCTCGGGAGACTAATTGGGTTCTCCCTTTTTCCGTGAACCATCTGTATTTCCTTCAGACCCATTTGCTTCTGATTGTTTAGTTTGGTCTCTCATTTTAGAACAGGGGTGGGCAAACTTTTTGACTCGAGGGCCACAATGGGTTCTTAAACTGGACCGGAGGGCCGGAACAAAAGCATGGATGGAGTGTTTGTGTGAACTAATATAAATTCAAAGTAAACATCATTACATAAAAGGGTACGGTCTTTTTTTTTTTTTTAGTTTTATTCATTTCAAACGGGCCGGATTCGGCCCGTGGGCCGTAGTTTGCCCACGGCTGTTTTAGAGACTAGTCTCAGTAATGCTGTGGCCTTAAGATGTTCATTAATATCTGAGAATGCACGTGGACAAAGCTGTAATGATTTAGATGACCGGAAGGGGATCATTGCCAGGCTGTAGAAGTCCTTACTTCTGGGGCACTGAATGTCTTCATAGAAGCATCCTCAGACAAACGGGGAAATACAGAATTAAAAAGGCAGATGCAGATTTCACAAAAGATACATGAAAGAATTAAAAACCTCTACATCATTTTGAAAAGTTATCTTCTAGCAAATGCCATCTGCTACAACTCAGCATCTATTTTTGAGAAAACATTTTACAAGCTAAGCTAGAAAGAGATGGAAAAATCCCTTTTCTTGACAGAGGGCATCTTTCAGAAATAACCAGAGATATACCAGAAAAAAAATTAAGTTATCTTTAATGACAACTTAAACATTATTTTGAAGGCATTTGATGCAATAAAGATAAAGGAGTAATAAATTCTAGAAAGGATGTCAAACATTATGGTTTCCCTAGAATATTTAAGAAAACAACTAAGAAACTATATCAACCAAGAATAACTAGAAAATTAAATCAAATGGGAGTCAACCATAAGAGTGCTGTGCTGGGATAAAAATAAACATTCAAAACCGAATACATTCCTTACATACTAAAAATTATTTTACAATATGATGGCAGACATAAATGTTCATCTCCTGTCTTTTTCAATACTCTATTCAGGTAAAACATACTGATAAAGGAAAGGGGGGAGACCATGAGCAGACAAGAGATTTCAACAGATTTCTGGAAGAAAATGTCCAGGCAATAACATAGGAGAAAATCTAAGTGACCTTGGGCTTGGGGATGAATTTTTACATACACAACACCAGAAGCACAACCCATGAAAGAAAATATTTGATAAGTTGGACTGTCATTAAATCTAAAACTTTTGCTCTGGCAAAGACAATGTTAAGAGAATGAAAAGACAAGCCACATTCTGGGAAAAAAATATTTGCAAAACACACATTCAATAAAGAATTAGATGTAAAATATATATTTTAAAAAAAACCCTCTTAAAATCAACATTTAAAAAAAGGCAAAAGATCTGAACACACACTTCATCAAAGAAGATATACAGATGGCTAATAAGTATGGGAAAAGATGCTCAAAATTAAATGTCATCAGAGAATTACAAGTTAAAACAATCTATAATAATAAAAGTGTAATATGTTAATTAGACCGGACATCCTTCCGGACGTCCTTCCTTCTGTACGAAGCCGTGACAGGCGAGGACCCAGGCAGAGGCCCGCAGCCACAGCGGCAGCGGGGGCGCTAAGCCCCTTGCATGAATTTCGTGCATCGGGCCTCTA